TTTTGGGGCTTTAATCATTTGGAGCTAATAAAGTGGTTAGAAAAATGGAGGCAAAAACATAATAAGAGAAGTGGAGAGGGGAAAAGGAAATCAGGAGAATGGACAACCCAGATCAAGTTTGTGAGATCCAACGGGCCAATGAGATGGGTATATAAGGGAAGAGATTAGGGTTTTTCTTCATTTTTAGAGGAGAAACCGAAAATGAGTGGGAAAAAGAGAGAGTCGATAAGTGAGAGGGAAGAGAGGAGATCTATCGAGCAAGGGGGAGCCAAGAAGAAAAAAAAAGGAGAGGAAATGAAGAGGGAGGCCAGAAAGAAGAAGGGAAAGGAGAGAAAAAAGAGGAAAGAGAATAAAAGAAAGGAGGGACCGAGCGGGAAAGAGAAGGGGAGCCAGAGAGCGACCGTCGCGAGGGAAGAAGAAAAGAAAAAAGGGGCAGAGGCAGAAGAGTGTGGAAGTTGAACTAAAAGGAAGAAGGAGGAAAAGGGAACGACTCGAGATGCCGTGTGACAGCGGAGACTGAGGCAAGCGAGGTAAAGGTTCGTCCTTTTTGTCTTTTTTTCCCTTATTTTCCTTTCAATCTATTCTATTTTTCACTAACCGATTTTTTAGGTGTAAAAATCATCAATCCAATTGCAAGTACGCAAGGAAGCCGTGGGGTGATCGAGAGGAGGCGACTGAGAGCCAAGTCGAGGCCAAATCTCCCACGCCAAAAAGTAAAATGATTTTTTTCATGTTTTGGTGGTGGTTAAGCGACAATGGGGCAGGACTGGTGTCGGGCTGGCCACATGGGCTCGGTTGGGCCACCCACCCGCACTGGAACCGAGGAGATTTCCTCAAGAATGGGCAAAGCCGACCCATTCAGGAAGTTGAAGGGTCTTCCCCGAGCATGGGAACCTGATCCACCATTTTGGGATTTAGATTTACCGTTTGGGAAGCTAAAAAGTCTTCTTCAGGAAACGAAAATCCGATTTGCCGTCTGAGAAGCTGAAAAGTCTTTCTCATAAAATGAAAATCTGATTCAGCAAACAGGGAGCCGAAAGATTTTTCGGGTACAGATCCCAATAATTTCAGGTATTCCGTTGGGTGGTCGTTGGAACCCGTAATTTGATTAAATTAATTTTTAGTATTTCGAAGTATTTTAATTAAATTATATCGTGTGTATAAGAAAATTTGGACATTCAGGCGGATATGAAAAGATACGTAGGAGTGTAATTATTTCTAAATCTCAACCGGCTTTTGAATTTCAAAAGGTGCATTTATTTTATAAAAATTATTAATTTTGAAATTTAAACGGACATTAACCCAATTTTTGATAGAAAAACAAAACCCAAATTATGATTGGTAAACTTAAACAATTAGAACCTTATAAGTAGACAAAACCAGAAAAGAGACCCAATGTACTGAGAGTTATTTGGATTGATGAAATATAAAATTGAAAAAGAATATTCCCAATTAAGGAAAAATTGGAAAAAAAAAGTAAAAATAGAAAGGAAAAGAAACATTTGAGGTTATGAAATGATCATTTAACCAAATTAAGAATTTTGTAATGAGAGAGTAGGAGTGAATAAGGTAAGGATCCTGAATACCTTCTGGTTTAGTCTGAATCGATGAGGGGAGTGTGTGTGTGTGGCTGACGTTCAGCGGACATGGTGAACCTGCACATGGATAGAGTCTGAAACTTAATCCAGACGTGGATAAATATTTGTGTGAGTGTGGGTCACCTAGCAAACGTACATGGTGTGGCCATTATATAATTTTTGTGCGTGTGCTATCCATGCGATGGAAGAATCTATTTTCTCTTTCCTCGATGATGACATAAACGGCATCGCGCAATGAAACCATAGAAATGACTGTTCGAGTGTATCTGTGATCTTTTGTATGTGTGTGATTATATTTTGAGATGATGAATGATATTCGAGTGTATCTATGTTTTTTCGAGAGTATGAGAATATACATTTGAAGTTTGTATGTAATATTCGAGATAATTCATCAAATCGATCAGGAATATATGAAATAGTGAAAATAACAAATGAATTTTGTACTGAAATATTTTTATTGTTTTTGTTTCTTATCGGATATTTTGCATAAAATTTTATATAGATTGAAAGAACGGGAATACTTATTGAGTTTGTGAAGCTCACTAAATTTCACCATGATATTTTTCAGAGGAGAATAAAGAGGCAGTATCGCTGCCAGATGAGTAGAACCTGTAAAAAAAATTATTATTTTTGTATATTTTGTACATTTTTGAAAAAATTTATTTTGTTCTGTTAGACTCTAAATTCCGACATCATATTTTGTATGTATAGTTACTGTACATATCACATGAGATATTAGGTTGTACTATATTTTTTTTATCTACGCATGTATATATTTTATGAGTCCATTGCATGAAATGACATAAACAGGAATTGCACCTCATATTGAGTATCGAGACGTGACAAACTAATTTAAACATGTAAATTTTTAATCCAATAACAAAACAATTGTTGACATGTTAATTTTTAATTACGCCAATTTTAAACTTAAAAAAACTTTTAGTTAGATAGTTTTTCAGTTTCAATATAATTTTGAATTTACAGAATTATTAGAATATTTAATCATACAATTTTAATTTCAGGAGAATTTGAGTCAAACATTTTCATAAGGTATAAATTTTACTTGATCTTAAATCAAAATCTGAATAAACTATAAGCTTGTCTTAAATGTATAATTTTACCTATTAATTCTTGATATGCATAAATTATAAATCCTAATAAAATTAACTTAAATATAAAGAAAAATAATAAAAATTATAAATAAAATTTTGAAAATTTAATGATGTATTTAAAAATTTGATTTTGAGAAAATCAGGTTTATAAAAAATTCCTCTTGCTTTTAGAAATATATAATCTGGGATTTAAGGATTTAAATTTACTAAAAAGATTAAAAATTCCAAAGATTTAGGATTTAAATCACTTTATTCATATGTCCGCATACCGTACTCTTTGCAATTTTCACAAGTTCTTCGATGTTTGTTTATCTTTTAATCTTTTGATCGTGGGTTTTTAAGGGGTTTTTTTTTTTTTTTTTTTTTTCTCTTTGATTATTTGGGTATTTTGTTGGATTTGTTGGTAGGTAAAAGAGCCTTCTATATGTAAACCTTTGTTCAATATATACGTGGGATAATGGATGGAGAGATAGCAATTGCCAATATATTGAAGTGAATTTAGGTGAATAAAGATGAAAGAGTAAATAATTTTGTGTATATTTTTTTAAATAAAATTGAAAAAATAAAAATAAAACATAAGGTTTTATTAACCATATGAGTGGTTAGTGTTCTTTCTTTGTCTATTCAAAAAAATTCAACCAATTCCCTCGTCTAGTTAGTTTGAGTCAATTAAAAATAACTCAACCTTTGATTTTTTTATTTTTATTTAAAAAAAAAATTAATTTTCACATGTTGACAGTAAGAATTAATCCACTAAACCAAGTGGCTAAAGTCAACTTCCTCATAATTTTTGGAATTATTACTTAACAATGCCAAAGAATTTAAATGTATCATATTGGAGGTGACTGCTCGGTAATTACATACTTTTGTTTCTTTTTTTTTTTGTTGCTAATTTAAATCCTTTAATTCAGTGGAATAACTAGCAATTACATTAATAATAAAAACTGTTAGAATAATTTGATATGTACAACAAAAGTCAGTACTCTAGCACCTCACGTGCATAATGAGAATCGTTACTAAAAACTTATATCATATAAAGTTATATGAATTATAGTTAAAAGATTTATCATTCATAAAAAAAATGAAATTATGTCATATATATATATTTTATAGATAATCTATTGAGTTACGTTTATAATAAAATAAAATAATTTTTTTTTTAGGATTAATGATCCAAACATCATACGTACGAACATATTGACTACTGAAGTTTAACACCTTTTTTAATCCTTAAGTAATTTTTGAATAGAGTAAATAGCAAAAATTTATTTACTTCGCATAAAACATGAATTTACTAATAACAATAGAAATATTTTCAAAATTTTATTTTATTATAATTATTTTTATATGTCTAATCATATTTATTTTTAATAACTTATTGTAACGCCCCGTTTTTTTTTTTTTTTTTTTTTTCTGTTGGGTGTAATTAACAAACAACCAACTTTCATAACCAAACGATCATGCACAAGGAAACAATAGCATAATCCCTCATTCAATGATCAAGACAATCCTACAACCATGTACAAGACACCTCATACCATACAACCATACTCAAAATCTATGCTATCATCAATTCTACATATTCCATTCAGACAAAATAAAACAAAACTCTTCATCCTGTACTCTACACACTATGATCGGAATCTAACGGCCTCGATCCGGACTCCGTCCCTACATTATCTGTAAAAAGGAAAGAGTGAGTTCCTTTAACTCAGTACAGTAAAACTCAAAATACATGCGTGAAATGCAACAGTATAAATCCTATGCCTCTACCAATCGTTCATTACTGAACTCAACACTTTCCCTCCTGCGCCTACTATTCTACCTACCCTAGGCGTCCGTTCCCAACGGCACTCCAGGCGTGCCAGGGATACCCTTCATCGCCAAGATTGGCAACCATTAACCACCTATCGACCCCTAGTGGGCCACACGCGCACACAAATCTCACTTATTTCCATTACCAACAGCGGCGACCATCCGTCACCTATCGACCCCATATCAGGCCACACACGCACACTCCAATCATTCTCTCCCGTCACCACCTTCGGCGACCGTTAGCCATCCCCCGACCTATACCAGGCCACTCACACACACACACCATTTTCATTCACTTGCGTCGCCATCATCGGCGACCGTTAGCCATCTCTCGACCTATACCAGGCCACTCACACACACTCTGATCATTCTCTCCCGTCACCACCATCGGCGACCGTTAGCCATCTCACGACCTATACCAGGCCACTCACACACACTCTGATCATTCTCTCCCGTCACCACCATCGGCGACCGTTAGCCATCTCACGACCTATACCAGGCCACTCACACACACTCTGATCATTCTCTCCCGTCACCACCATCGGCGACCACTAACCACCTCTCGACCTATACCAGGCCACGCACGCACACCTGCGACATATCCTAATTGCCCCCACTCACTCCGTCTCTCTTTCCCCAAGGTTCCAACTAACCAACTCCACTTCCCAAAGCGTCTCAGATCTCCCTCATCCGGTGGATCTTTCCCTTCTCTAACCTTCACTCCCCGCCCCTCCCTAACTCTCTCTCTCTGCTACAATCTCCCGCCACAACGTCGCGTCACACCATCCTTCTCACCTCACTCACCCCGCGGGTTCTTCCTCCCACCAGCGTTCCTCCACTGCCTTCCCCTATCTTTCCCTCGGCTATAACCACCCGCCACACCATCACATCACACCGTCCTTCTCGCCTCACTCACTCCACGGACTCATCCCTTCCCCTGCTTTTCCCCCCACTGCCTCCACCTATCTCTCCCTCCGACTACGTCCTCACACCACAACGTCTCCCTATCTCCCTCTGCGTCGCTCACACCCCTCACTCACCCCCACACCGTTTCCCGTCCGTACCGTCACCTTCTCACTCTCTCCTCCCGCGATCCTCACGCGGTTACCTCTTTCGTTTGCACCTCTCCTTTCTCTCTCATGGCCTCCACTCATTCCGCGCTCCTATCTCTCTCCCTTACCCGTACCGCCACCTTCTCCCTCTCTCCTCCGCGATCCTCCCTCGGTCCACTTTATTTCCCCCGCCTCACTACACATTCTCACCCGTCCCTTCCGTACGTCACTACCTCCGTAACCCGTGACTACGCACGCTACACATCCAACCATTTCACACTCAAATCAACACACAAATTTAGAGTTCATTACCGTACCTCCCGTTTCTATTTTTCTTCCTTGCGGCCGAATCTGCTCTCACCGTCCGCGATCTTCTCTTCTCCCCGCTCCGCTTCCTTCCTCTCTCCTTCTGGAACCTTCCTTCCTCTCCTCTTTCTCTCTCCCGCTCCCCTTCTCCTCTGCTCCCCTTTTTCCCTTTTTTTCCTTCCTTTCCTCCTTCCTGCCTTCCCCCGCCTCCTACTTGAATCACCCCAGTTTTTTTTTCTCAAAACGGCGTCGTTTTCCTCCTTGCAAAACGGCGTCGTTTTCCTCCTTGCAAAACGACGTCGTTTTTCCCTTTCCAAAACGACGTTGTTCCTCCCCTCTGCAAAATGACGTCGTTTTTCCTTCCCTCTCTCCCTTTTTTTTTTCTCTTTTTTTTTTCTCTTTTTTTTTTCTCTTTTTTTTTTCTTTTTCCCAGTTATTACACTTATATTTTCTAAAATCATATTAATATATAATTAAAAAGATCAGTCACTCATAGTAGAAGTAAATTGTATCTTATGTATATTTTTTTTGTAAATAATTCCTTCATCCATTTTTATAATAAAATGAGAAAATTTTTCCGTTAAAAGATTGGTCAGCATGTTACATGTCAATTATTGACTAGTAAAATGTTTTGATACTCTCTATTAATCTTTAGGTCATTTTTTAATACATCACATACTAAAAAACTATTCATATGATAATTTATTGACAAACACGTTATTTAATTTTTAGATGAACTTTTTTATTATCTAATGGTCATATTACCTTGTGTGAAATGGTTCGTAGTGGTTATATTTTATTATGTAAAACTGTTTATAGTTTATAGTATTATTTAAATTATATTTTAATATTTTAAGAAGTATACTATATAATAAAATCATTTATTTTTTCAAATAATTGAAAACAAATTCCGTATTTGTTTGAAATTTGTAAAATCAAACCTAGCTGTTTTGAGTCCACAAGTTTACGGTCAACATTTTTTTTTTTTTCTCTTCTTATTTCTTTTAAAATAATATACTAAATAATTTATGACAGGTACATATTTAAAAGAATAGTTTTAGAGATACAAACTTGCAGTGGAATACTTATACACACACACACACACGCACATATATATATATATATATTATATAAAGAAGAAAAAAGGCACATCTAGAAGCTGTCTCTAAGTTTGAGTCAAATCATTATATATTTTTACTATAAATTAAAAAAATAGTAATCGTTGGCTGCATGCACAAATATTAATAGGTTAGCGAAGAGACATTAAAATGATTATTTTTTAAAATATGGTATTTTAATTAATCATGCATCTACACAAAATTAATTAATTGAATTAAAATAAAGAATTATAAATTAAGGGGCGCAATTTTTTTGTCTTTTTCTTGTTTATTTTTTATTTTTATTTTTTATTTTTTTTTGCATGTTGGCACATGTATGTCTTCTTCACAAACAAGATATACTTAATTCCCTCGTATAATTGCTTTTAGATCTTGTCATTCCTACCAACATGGTTTCTGAATTCATAATATATGTATATTTTTCTAAAGGTGTATTAATAATCTGTGTATTATATCATGAAACAAGTAGAACCTATAATACTAACTAAGACAAAGGAACAAAATTTGTGCACTCCAAATAAACATTGTTACTTATTAAACTTGGACCCATTATTAAATCAGTTAAAAATATTTAATTTATTAATCTCACCAGTGAAAATATACATATAAAATAATACAATATAAAACCATTAAAGATTAAGCTTACCCTTTAGCATGCACTAACAAGAAGCGAATGCATTTAGATGGCAATCACATAAAGATCTCAGTTTTCTTTTATATTTTTTGTAAATAATATATATTTAAATATAAATACATTGAAAGATAAAAATATATATTTTTATATTTCAAAGAATTTACACCTCAATTATTAATTTAATTTAATTTAATTTAATTTAACTCTTAGAGCAATAATGCACATCTTAATACATGTTATTTGATCCTTTCTTATTAACAATATTTTGTCTTTAATCCTGATTTATTGGCTTCAAATTTTTATTTGTGCCTTTTATAAATGTACTTATGTGATAAGATTGAATTAAATTACATGTACTAAATTGATATTAAAATTAAACCTCGTTAATTACCTTCCTTGGACACACAGAAGCCATCAGATAGTAAAGGGAAAGCCTTGCTTGTTGTCCTACTGTAATCTCAAAAATCCCCAATTTTCTTGGGTTCTTACATCCACTCCTGTTTCTTTTTTTTTTTTTTTTTTTTTTTCCTTAATAAAATTATATCCACTCTAATTAATTAATGCAATATTTATGAGTAAAACAATTTAGCTGTGATAACTATAACTTAAGCTTATCTTCTCGAGTGAAAATTGCTTTCCTTAGGACGAGCTTTTAGAACAAAGTAGAAAGAGCTTATTTAAATTGGTCGATAAAAAGCCGTTACTTGAAACAAAAAAGGAAAGGATTCAATTCTTCGATTCTTCCTGTCATTTCTCAGATGCTGTCTTTCCTCCGAGCTATGTCATGTTCACTTTTTCAAGGCGAGGCCAGCAACAAAGTTCCAAGGAGTTGTATGCGTAACAAGACGTCTTTGACCCTGTCCCATCCATATTTGGTTAAAGCTTATAACTATCCAAAAAGAAGCTATAGAGCCATACCATTTGCCTTCATGGTATCGGTGAGAGGGGAACTAATGCTAACGGTCTCGGATATGGCTCAGGGTACTGCTTCCCTTAGCCGCAGCTGAAGCGATAGATCTTGCCCGGGATGCTCCCAAGGTTCATCGGTTGGACTCCTCATTGGAAAAAGAATGGCAAAGGGTGGTCTACCATCAGGTCTTTCTTCAAAGGAAGTTAAGAAAGCATAAATATTCAACTTTAGTTTATATTTTAGAATTAAGAAATAAAATCTTAAATTTACTAATCTGATGTAAATTTATGCATATAATTATTTTATCTTTTTATTATTTTATGTAAAACTGTTTTTTAAGTTTTTTTTTTTTTTTTTTAATAATTTGCATTCTTTGTTCCTAAATTTATACTCTTACGTTTTTCTAAATACAAAATGTATGTGTAAATATGTTTTATAAAAAATTTGTCGGTGTAAGCAAAATGAATAATGTGTATAAAATTTAAAAAGAAAAAATGAACATATAATCTACAACAAATTGAACTGGATTTTTTATATATATATAATATATGCATAATAGAAAAGGACAAAATTAAATATTTATGAAGATTGATGTTGTTTGTTTTATATATTCCAAAAGTAGGAAAACACACAGGAATTTAAAGGAAAAAAATGAGGGAATAAAAAATGTTGAAGATTTCACTCTACCCCATCCACTACTTTTATTACAACCTTTATATATCTATGTTGAATTTTTCTAGATATATAATATAACTATATATATATATATATATTTGATTTGAAAGATGCAACTCAACAAAGGATCTCTCCTTTCTTCTTCAATCTCTCCCTCTCTCTCTCTCTCTCTCTCTCTCTCCCTCTGTGTGTGTGTGTATATATATATATATATATATATATTACATTACAAGTAAAATTAATTGTATATATGTTTTAGTACTTATCATGCATAAATTTCAAAGTTCAAACATACTAATTAATTAATCTGCCTGCTATCTACTCATCATGCATAGGTTAGCATCATAAATATATAATTTCTTAAGTTAATATATAAAAACAAATTCACCATATAATATGGTCTTTTATTGACGAGATTAATTAAAGAATTCTCAATTATATTTTAATCATCTTCTAAGTCGTCGATAATTTAATTCACTTGGATCGTGCACCAGAATTTAATAAGCTAACAAATTTGACTCCAATTAACCACCGGATTAATTTTAAAAAATTGGCGAAAGAGATTTGGTTGGCAATTGTTGTTTATCAATCTTGTCATACATCTAATTGGCTTCACTTAATATATATATATATATATATTTTCAAAAGTTAGATAAATTAAATTCAACAAAACCATTGATTTTATATGTGATCTATCGAAAGATTTAATTAAGTACTGAATATTAATTGTTTTCTAATTAAGAGGCCAGATTATCCCAGAAATTAATTAATGAATCAATATAGTATATTGGAAACAAAAATGGGGCCCTCTCCATATGAATTCACGTGTCACACATAAGTAAATATTAGTGAAAATTTTAATTAATTAATTAATTAACAACTTGGTTCAATAACATTCCAAAGCTAAAGTCGCATTATCAATTAATGGAGCCCACTTTGGTTCAATAATGACCATAAAACTAAATTAAAAAAAAAAATCAACAATATAATTTATGATTATTAGGATGCCTTATGTTGTGTATGGAGGAATTTAGTGCTAAATTTTATTTTATTTTATTTTTAAGTAAATTTATATACTTGTTGATTAAATGATATATATATATATATCAATAATAATATAATAAAAAATAAATTTTAAATAATAATAGTATAATTGAACTGGAACGCACAATTTAATATTTAATTAAATAATAATTATTAGTAGTGATAAATTTTTAATTTAGTACAAAATGGTGGATATCAAATAGCATTTGAAGTCACTAAACAAATTTTTCTGCCTATTAAATAATATTATTTAAGAGGGTAAATTTTATCACTATTAAAATATCAAATAATGACTCCCCCCCTCCCCCTTCAACTAATGGTTTGAATGTGTTATAGTTTTAGGTGATGGGTTACAAACAGTCATAAAATGCAATTGGTGCACAAGATCCTTTCTTTTGTTTTTTTCCATTAAATTTTCTTTCGCTTTGATGCTTCCATTTGCAATTGCATCTAATTCCTTCTTTCCACGCCTCCTCTCACCCTTTGTCTAATCATCTCAGGCATCCAACGAAACCGAACACTGTTCTTCTCCATTTGACTTTCTCCAAACTCTCTCTCCTCGTTCGTAATCCTGGCTAATCGGTGGTGGACTACTCCGGTGGGCATGCCGGGAATGGATCCGGCAGCCAATTCACCACTCTTGCACAAAAGCGATCTTGAAATTTCCAACAACAACAAAAGAGGAGGAGACGAGGACGAGGACAGAGACACTGGGGATGAGCCGAGAGAAGGGGCTGTCGAGGTAGGGACTCGCAGGCCACGAGGCCGCCCACCCGGCTCCAAGAACAAACCCAAACCGCCCATCTTTGTCACTCGAGACAGTCCCAACGCACTCCGTAGCCATGTCATGGAAGTTGCCAGCGGCACTGACGTGGCTGAGAGTATAGCTATCTTTGCACGCAGACGACAACGTGGCGTCTGCGTGCTGAGCGGAAGCGGCTCCGTCGCTAACGTTACCCTTAGGCAACCGGCTGCCCCAGGGGCCGTGGTTGCCCTACATGGAAGGTTCGAAATCCTGTCACTGACTGGAGCCTTCCTGCCCGGTCCAGCTCCTCCAGGATCCACAGGTCTGACCGTGTACCTGGCTGGCGGGCAGGGACAAGTAGTGGGGGGCAGCGTGGTGGGTTCACTTGTTGCAGCAGGTCCGGTGATGGTGATTGCAGCCACCTTCGCGAACGCCACGTACGAGAGACTGCCGCTTGAAGAGGAGGAAGAAGCGGATCAGGGGCAGATCCAAGGTGGCTCAGGGAACTCACCGCCGGCTATGGGAGGAGGCGGGAGTGGGCTGGCGGACCCATCATCTCTTCCTATGTACAATATACCGCCTCATCTAGTCCCAAATGGTGGCGGACAGCTAGGGCAAGAGGCATACGGGTGGAATCACACGCGACAGCCTTACTGAAAGGATAGAGAATGTAGAGTAGCGTATGTTTGTCGTTTCTATGAAGAGATGAGACATAGCAGAGAAGTCGTCGGATATGTATATTAATTACTTGTTTTCATGCCTACTTCTTTCTTCTTTGTAATAAAGGAAAAAAAGATTTAAATTTCTTTTCAGGAATTTAAGAAACAAAAAAGATTTACTTGTAACATTACTCTATATGATCAACATATTTTGCTCCTGAATTTGTTTTCTTCTTTGGAACTCTTCCTTCAGTCTCTATTCTCAGCAATCACTCCATCTCATGGAGGGTAGAATTCAGGGCGCCTAGAAAACAGTCCAGGAAATGCCAATCTTTTCTGAAAGGACTCTTCACACTAAGGTATATGTTGTTTCCAATTTTTGTTTGGAATCATTTTCTTTTTCTTAACTGTCTTTCTTCTATATGCCCTATTGCAACACCCTGCTTTGTACTTGTTCAGGAAAAAAAAAAAAAAAAAAAAAAAAAGAAAAGGAAAGTTTTCTGGTTTTTAGTACGGCAATAAGAAAAAATGAACTATAACAACACATTTGTTAACCGTGCTGCTAATTTAGATTAAAATTGATTTCGCCTTCTAAACTGTTAACTGGGGAATCACATTTCTGTTGAATATATGCATGCATGCATGTTTAGTTGCTTATTAGCTCAAGAGTATAAAAGAAATGAATTGAAGTTGTGGCCTGAATTTCGACATCCTTGGCATCTTTATTCTCCCTTTCAAACATTCCTGAGATTTTCTACTGCTATGTGACAGTTAACCGGTGATATACACGAAGAGGTTGAGAGTTATACTCGAATGCTTGACAGAATGGTACAGATGTGTGTGCGTGTTTGTGTGTGTGTATTCTGCAGTTTGATCTGATACTTCAGTCGAAAGAGAATTGTTAATCAGCAACAAGAAAAGAAATACAAGAATGTTTGGTTTTTAGTGGATTCCATTGTAAAACCTGGGAAACAACATGGATGCACCATTGTTTTTATTATCTTTTTCATGAGTCTTATGTTTTTCACACTACACATGGAGAAGACTCTTAAAGATAAGGCTTTTTTTCTTTTCGTTCTATTTCCTAAGTGATATTAATATGTTGAGTGCGTTGCACTCCAGTGTACATTTGGTTTAATTAGTTGTACAAGAAATATTAAAATGAAGGATATGGGTCTGTGTTTTACATCTTAATTTCTCTGTTGTTAATACCTTCGAGTGCGTATTCTGCAGGGTGTTTTGTTTGGGTAGATTCCTTTGTTGAAGCATTTCAAAACTCCTGTCTTCAAATGCAGCCGACCCAGATTTTAAACGTTTATGGCTATAATACTTTATTACATATTGGTAGGTTATATATATATACATATACACATGCCCACATACATATATACACATATCATAAACAATATTACTCAACAGCTAAACACGCCTTTCTTTAAAAAAAGAGGGTTATCCCTTCCCAACAGTCAGACATTATGCTCGCAGTTATGTTTCATGGATTAGGGAAAGTGAAGAAGATGATCTTTTCATGCATTAAGAAAAGTGAAGAAGATGATCTGGTAGCAGATGTGTGTATGATGGAAGAGAATAATATATGTCATTATTAGAAAGAATGGAAGGTTTATAAGATGAACCCAATTGTAATAATGACCAAATAAGGAATCCAGCTAGGTTTTTCTTTTTTTTTTTTTTCACTTTGGAAACTGACAACTTTCACATCAATGGAATTAGCACCCTGTAATATGAACACCAATGTATCAGACAGTCTTTATCTTTCTATCTTCATTTAAAAAAAAAAAACAAACACACTGAAGAATAATTTTATTTAAAAGAAAAGGGATAGTAAGAGCTATTTGGTCAAGGTGTCTTGATTTTCCCTATGAATTATTTTAGTAGTAGCTATGCGAATTGGACATATACAAATTTTGACTAAACCTTCTTCTTTTTTTGTTTTTGATAAATTAGAAGAGAATGTGAAAATGCTGCAATTTTTATAATAAAAATTGAGTTATCTAGTAATGCATTTCTCGATTTAGTTGCTAACAATTTCCTGGAAGTTTATTAAGTCAAAGAGTCTTTCACGATCTCTTTGAAGTTTTCTTGATAAAACAAGAGTCGAATCTCAATAACTAAAGTAATATCTCGATATTTAAATAATAATCATCAATAGTTACTAATAATATGTAACTTAATTACATTATTTATACATACTAAAATATGTCAAAAATAGAAAATTTGAAGAACTTAGTAAAAAGAAAAATACATTACCTAGAAAGAACTAGAAAAATAATAAATTTAGACTATAGAAAAATAGATTTTCTTACTTTTCTTCATTGTAGAACTTTACATGCTTTAAAAAGAGGAGTTAAGTCTTCCTATCCCTTTTAGTTAACTTATAAAAATATTTTTTTTCTTTATTGATCATATCTCAAATTTTCTATCATTAAAATATGATTATTATAAGAGCTTCCTATTCAATATCGTTTTCTCTCATTTGATAAAAACTCAATATCAAATTTTTAAACATTGAAGTAGAAAAAATTTCAAAATAGAAACTTTTCTTCTTAATAAGTAAGGCTGCTGAATTTGAAATTATATTGAAAAATATGAATGTTTTCAAAATTAAATTGAATATACAGTAAATCAATAGAACTGATAAAATTTATAAAATAAAAAATAACCAAACTTTCTTTATTTCTCTTAAGAGCCAAAAGAAATTTTGGAATAGTATCTTCATATGGAGTCTCTTTATCGAGAACATAATTGTTTTCAAACTTAGCAATATCATTATTTGTAATTAAATCGAGAGATACGCCATTATAGAAATTGTAGCATCTTTCACCATTTTTGAACAAACCAAGAAAGGCAATAAGAAAATACTTGGATTAGCTTTAAAATAAGCAATTGGAGTTTGGTTTGATGGGTGAAATGACAACAACTAGCAAGAGTCTCATTAGTTTTAAAACCTAAATAGTTATATGACCTTGATAGGTACAACCTATTATATGAATAAATTAAGGATGGTGCAAAACAACAATCATTCAAGACAAAAATTAGTAGCGACCTAAGTCATTATTTTAAATTACATGATTCTTACAATTGCTCATCCTCTATTTTCTCTATAACCTTTCTTTCTTTAAATGTTTGACTACAATTATAAATTTAAAAAAAAAAATTTCCTAACGTTTTACAACATAATGCATATAATTCTTTAACTTTTTTAAAATAAAATTTAAAATTATTACTTCAAATTTCAAATATACCATTAATCTAAAACGTTAAGCAGAGGCAGATCTTGAAATTATTGATAATTAGACTGATTATTTATTATTGATTATTTCTATAATAGAAAATCATGTGATTAGTTGTAGTTAAAAATTTATTAGCTAATACTATCTTTTGTATGTATTTATTGGGAAAATCTTCTATAGCAAAAAGAGAAAAGAGTTTCTTTAAAAGTTTGGTCTACCTAATTACATGTATAAATTATTTAAGTTTTAGATTAATTTTTTTATTATGTTGGAGTTAAAATATACTGTTAGAAGTACTCTTCGTTTATAGCATTATATAAATTTTATTTTAATCTTTTAAAATCATACAGTATAACATAATCGTTATTTTTCAAATAACTAAAAAAATTGAATATTTATTAATTATCTAACTACTAAAAATTTTAATAAAATTATTAATTGTAGAAATTTGAGTATTACTTTAAATTCTTTTTTATATCCATAAGTTTCTTAAGAAATAAGAATATAACTGTAAAGACCCAAAACTTAAAGGGAAATAAATTCATAAACTAAATGCAGAAGCAATTAATAGAGTTATGGTTTACATTCATTACACAACAATTCTGAATCTCTAATAAGATTATGAAAATGTTTCTTCTAAAAGACAAATGAAAATTAAAGAAACAAAACTAAAAGCGAATAACTAATATCCTAAAACAACTTTTACTAGTACTTGAAGGGAGTTCGAATAATGAACTACTCACAACCCTCTTGCTGATCAGGATCTGGATCTTGATCCTTTTGATCTGAAATACTTAATGAAAGGGTGAGATACATTAATCTAGTAAGAATATCACACTAATAATATATACAAAAACTGAAAATTAGTAAAAAAATAAAAAAATAATAACTAATGGAGCTCTTACTTTATTTAAATACATTTAAAACTTAAGTACATTTGTTTAATACTTAACATAATAAGTTTTTCAAAGACAATATATGAAAACCCACATCCATATCATTTTTTACTTTCACGCATAAGAGAACGATAAACAATAGTTTTTATTTCTTACTTGCTTACTGGTACTTTTAGGGGTCCATAGGGATGTTCTCCCTACTCGTGGACCCAATATCCAATTTTACAATTGACCAGTACTCCTTATACCTTATCCAGTAATGGGCGCCAAACATTCCATCATCTCGATATCATGTCCGTTATGAGAGTGAACCATATCTCTCAAACCTTTCTAGTAAGGGATTTTTCAATCCTGTCCGACTGAGGTAACGTTCATGGTAGGGTTCCCTATGTACCGGATCTGTTTGCAATTTTCCTAGATAACTAGCAAGTCTTTCACATAAAGATTTTTATCAACAAACAACCAACAAACTTATACCAATATTTTATATCACATTCACATATCAATTAAACTATATTCATACTGACGGTATATAACCAAAATAATCAGATAAGTTGATAATACTATTAAACTATAAATTAAAAATATGTACTATACGAAAATCAAGTAAGTAAGACAGTACAGAAAAATAAACAGTAAATCACGACAATTGTGAATTAACCGATTTCGTCTTCACTAATAACCTGTAATTATTTTTAAAATTTTTTAATTTTTCACAAAAAATATAAAATTATACATTGTATATCTCAATTTACTGTAAAGGAGAATAGGGTGAGGGATCCTTATCCGGATCGGTGTTATGAGACATCGAGCTATCTATTACGCCTCCTAATAGGTACCAGGTTCCCTAA